GACATAAGCCTCTCCTTAGAAAGGAGGTTTTGGCCTACTATACCACGCTGGCCAGACGGGTCGGTATAGGGTTTGTGTCAAGTTTTCCTTCTTTTTGCAGTGTTGGTGTCCTGCGTAGTTTGTTCCCTTAGTCGTCTCTTACGACACCCACGGAATGAATTGGGGTAGTGACATTCCGTATTCTTAATCCGTCACTACACGGACTATCCGTCACTACACGGACAAGTCTTTACAATAACAGTTCTATACTGGTCAATAAAATAATAAATTATAGTTAGAAAAAAGTAAAAACACGCTTTTGTAACTAGCCGAATTAAAAAGTAGAAAACAGTTTTCTAGGTATAAGTTAAAACAGATTTTTTTTTTGTAAATATCCTTGCCAAGTTGTAAGTAATCCCTCTTGCTCTCCTTGCCTGACTCGGAGTTCACTTCACCGTTCTGCGCCCGTATGCTTAGATTTTATAATTATTTTAAAAGTACCTACATAATGACACATGTATTTTTACTGTTTGGTGTTCATTTGTATCAACCTCGCTTGATGTAGCATCTGCTGCATTTTTACAAACCTCAGTGGTTTTTGAGTGCACTATTATAAGCAATAATTGTATTGTAATATCTATACTAATATTATAAAGGTGAAGAGTTTGTTTGTTTGAACGCGCTAATCACAGGAACTACTGGTCCGATTTGAAAAATTCTTTCAGTGTTAGATAGCCCATTTATCGAGGAAGGCTATAGGCTATATATCATCACGCTAAGACCAATAGGAGCGGAGCACCAATGAAGAATGTTTCAAAAACGGAGAAAATTTATTACTATTGAGAGACGCAGACGAAGTTGCGCGAGTCAGCTAGTATATATATTTTACTGACAGATATTGGTAAAAGTAAAGTTTTATTTATGTTATCTATATCTTCTATACAAATAAATAAAATTGGAGTGTCTGTTTGTAATATTAAAATAACCGCTTTTTACTAAATGCATATGTATGTTTACACGTTACATATGCCAAAATAACATTTTTTTACAATTTTTGTCTGTCTGTCTGTCTGTTTGTTCCGGTTAATCTCTGGAACGGCTGGACCGATTTCGACGGGACTTTCACTGGCAGATAGCTGATGACATAAGGAGTAACTTAGGGTCTTTTTTTATAACAACAAACGCGGGTAACACCGCGGATCTCAGCTTGTAAAATGTAAACATCCCACGCTTCTTTTGTATTCGACGTTTTAATTCGACGTTTTGAAGTGGGTCAAAATCTCGTTCGAAGATTCCGTTACATACATTCCAAGCTAATAAAAGCGTGTTAAAATAATTCAAATCGGTAGAAATTCAACCGTCAGATATCTAATACAGGTTAATTTGCATAAATTTTAGTGTGATTTTATTATCAACTAGCTGAGACCCGCGGTGTTACCCGCGTTTGTTATTATAACCGCGGGTAACGCCGCGGGGCGAAACTAGTCTAAAAAAAGTAGCTTAAGTTACTCCTTATGTCATCAGCTATCTGCCAGTGAAAGTCCCGTCGAAATCGGTCCAGCCGTTCCAGAGATTACCCGGAACAAACAGACAGACAGACAGACAAAAAATGTAAAAAATGTTATTTTGGCATATGTACCGTGTAAACATACATATGCATTTAGTAAAAAGCGGTTATTTTAATATTACAAACATACACTCCAATTTTATTTATTTGTATAGATAAAATTAAATCTCACGACAATTTAAGTAAACTTAAAACCAGTTCAAAAACGCAATTAGCACCCAAATCCAGTTTGGTATTTATTGGTACAGTTAAAACATAAAACGTTGGGTTTTGTTATTTAATACTGTAAGGGTTATTAACCCTACACTATTACTGTTTTCTCTGCATCACCTAATGGTTGACTGGTAGATCGACGTAGGTATTTAATCCGCCAATGTACCAAATGAGCATAATCTATATATATAAAAGAAAGTCGTGTTAGTTACACTATTTATAACTCAAGAACGGCTTTACCGATATGGCTGAAAATTGGTGAGGAGGTAGCTTAGAGCCGGAGACGGACATAGGATACTATTTATTCCGTTTTTTTTTTTTTGTATTGGCGTCGATCACCAGATGACAACGGTGTAACTGTCACAACAAAAGTGAACAGAATGGATTTCGTTGTCGACAACAGTTGGATTGTTCCATATTCGCCACTTATTTCTAAAACGTTCAAGACACATTGCAACGTTGAATATTGCAATTCAGTAAAGTCCATAAAATATATTTGCAAATATGTTACGAAAGGCAGCGATATGGCCGTTTTTGGGTTGCAATCCAAAAACCATGTTCACGGGTCGGAAGACCATCTGCGTTGTTTGTTTTTGCGCCTGATAAGAAAACAAAAAATGACGTGTACCACCTTAAGTACCTTACTTAAGTGAAGAGCAACCTATGTACTGAAATGCAGAAACAATAATAAATGATTAATGTACTTCATTTTTTTTTCTAAGAAAAAAATGAACTTACTAAATTCGAAAATCGGCTTATTTATTACCTTTAAGGCGGAACAGAGTTCGCCGGGTCAGCTAGTATGTAAAAAAACCCTTTTCTTTCCTTATCTTCTCTTCTTACAAACTTTTCCCTTCCAAATTACACCAAATTTAACCATTTAATTTCTAAAGTTGCCGACTAACGGCAGTAGGCTGGCCTCATGCCAAACTTAAACGGCTCTATGTAGCCCACTAACGTTTATAGGACTCCCTATAAATTAAAGTGGGCTATATGGGGCCGTTTAATAAGCTTATGTCGGGTATAAAGTCTAAATTACACGCAGACATAGAACTTATTACACAATTGTTTGTCCTGGGTGGGAATCGAACCCACAACTTTTAGCTCAGAAGTCAGGGTCACTAACCACTAGACTAATAGGCTCTTCGATGGTATGCTATTAGAAACTTACCGTGGAACATACACTCGAAAAAAATAACCTTAATTCTGGCGTAGTTCCTCTAACTTTATCACGTAGATATCTAAACACAGATTGTGGAGGCATTCCTTCATCAATCCTCGTGTCAATATTTACAATAATGAGTGCTTAGCAGACCGGTTCAAGTTCATCGCCCTTGACTTAGACAACTTGACTTTGCCGTGGGTCGAACGAATTCCCATCGGCTTCCGTTTGTAAAAAAAACTGGTTCCAGTACCGGAATTGGAGGAAAAAATAAATTTAATGTCTTGTCACAACCGTATCAGGTAACGGTATTAATTAATAAAGGAGGTTATCTGTAACCTAACAAGCTATGCTAAAAATTAAAACTGTACAGTTTTTTATTCGTTTGTTTAGAGCCCCTAATATCTGGAACTATCAGTCAAAGTACAAATGATTCCTATTGGATGAAATATTGTTTTAAGAGTAACATCTATACAAATAAATAAAATTGGACTGTCTGTTTGTAATATTAAAATAACCGCTTTTTACTAAATGCATATGTATGTTTACACGGTACATATGCGAAAACATTTTTTTTTACAATTTTTGTCTGTCTGTCTGCCTGTTCCGGGTAATCTCTGGAACGGCTGGACCGATTTCGACGGGACTTTCACTGGCAGATAGCTGATGACATAAAGAGTAACTTAGGCTACTTTTTTTAGACTAGCTTCGCCCCGAGGCGTTGCCCGCGGTTATAACAACAAACGTGGGTAACACGGCGGGTCTCAGCTAGTTGGGTATAAACTTGATTGGGCAGAGTTTTGTGGGCTCTCATGGTCCTCCCCTGACTAGGACGTCTGAGGCCGGAGGCCGCTATGCCCCTATTGAGGGGGAAAGTGTGTTCCCCTGGGATAGGAGCTGATTAGGCATGGTGTCGATTCGGGGAGGACATGAAATAACATTGTCCGGGCCCTCCCAGAGTAGGGAATCTGAAGCCGGCCGTCGGGGTGGTTTAGAGTGGAAACACCATATACTCCGGGTTCTCGGATCCTTTTCTGAACCTGAACTCTCCTCACCAGGGCATGACAAGATGTTGGACACGAACCGACTCATACAACACAGTATTCTGTCATCAGATCGGACCCAAGTTTCAGGCATACCCCAAAAGGAAACTCCTGTGACCCCGGTAGACTTAGCAGCTTGTTTTGCACCACAGCGATATGAATCTAATATAGAGAGGCGCAAAACAAATTTACATTGAGCCGAAGACGAAAGCAAAAAGTAGTTTGTATGTAATAATATTGAGCTGAGAAATACTGCTCAGTAAGAGGTCATGGGTTCGATTTAAACCCTGGACAAATAATTGTAGGAGGACCAGAATCATTTGTTCTGTGTCTGGGTCTCATCATCAACAGCCTTTAATAGTCCACTGCTGGACATAAATGCTCCTTGGAAATAAGGTTTTGGCCTACTATACCACGCTGGCCAGACGGGTTGGTATAGGATTTGTGTCAAGTTTTCCTCTCTCTGCAGTGTTGTTCTGCGTAGTTTTTTCCCTTACAACACCCACGGGATTCGTAATCCGTCACCACACGGATTATAATTTATCTATAATGTGTATGTATTCTATTTTTTTGTTGACTGGGTGGAAAATCCCTTCGGATCTCCTGCTCTTCGAGGACTCAGGAGCCAGGAGTATGTGGTGATTCTACTAAAAACCAAACCAACGGCCGGCCTCACTTGCCCTACTCTGGGAGGGCCCGGACCATGTTATTTCAGGTCCTCCCCGAATCGACACCATACCTATTCAGGCCCTATCCCAGGAAAAAAATTTCCCCGCCTCAATCGCAGCGTGGCGGCCCGATTGCGTTTTAATTCAATCCGGCCGTCATCCTGTCCCCTACCACAGCTATCAATCTGCCACCAGAGGTCCCCACTCTCCGGCCATGTATATATATTTAGTAAATCTAAGTATGTTTATCAGCAGTCTGGTTACCGTAGTACAGGCTCAGTATAGTTTGGGATCAGACGGCCGTGTGTGAATATTGTTAAGTTATTATAATTATTGATTGGATTTATTATTTGTTACAGTTAAACAATATGGCTGAACATAAACTACTTTGGTTACTGCTAGTGTATGTTACGGTTCATTGTTGCTCAGCATCGAATTTTAGAAGTAAGTGTATTTTATTTTATTTTTACTCAAATGGTACAGTTACAGACAACACTCCGTGTAGTGACGTATTAATAATACGGAATGTCACTACCCCAATTCATCCCGTGGGTGTCGTAAGAGCCGACTAAGGGCGCAAAACAACGCAGGACACCAGCACTGCAAAAAGAAAGAAAACTTGACACAAACACTATACCAACCCGTCTGGCCAGCGTGGTATAGTAAGCCAAAACGTCCTTTCTAAAGAGAGGCCTATGTCCAGCAGTGGACTATTAAAGGCTGTTGATGTGATGATGATGATGATGATGATGACAGACAACAGATCATGCCTCACACAGTACCAAGTAACAGCGTATAATTTCAAATCTGAAGTCCAATTAAAACTATACACATCATCCACTATCGCGGTGATAGAGCTTCAAGTAGGTGTTAAATAAACGCAAAAAAGAAAAAAAATGATTATTAAATGAGAAAATGAGATGCAGCAAATTGACTAATTAGTTATATCTACAAATGTGTTACTATAATTTTACATTGATAGGTTTATATATTTCAGTTTTATGTAAAAAGCACTTCAATAAATTTATACTATCGTTAAAATATCTATTTGAGAACATATGCCTATTTATTGATCCATAATTTTACGTATGGTTTTAGTTGATGATTCTATAACATGGGTTTTTAAACTTGATATGCCTAAAAGTGTTACTTCACGAACTGTGATGATGATTTGTTTTGTTTAAAAAGACAACTAAGGATATATATTCTGTGTCGCGAGAGACTTTACAAACATACATGAAACGGACACAAAGAACACCCAGACTCAGAACAACAATTTGTGGATCACACAAAGTGGTGTCCCATGTGGGGAATCCACAACACTGGCGTCGCGACCGCTTAAACCACTACGCCATCCGTGCAGTTTAAAAATGATAGACCGTTCCGCTTTATACTATGTACGAAGAACTATTCGCAAGGAGCCCTAGCGTCGAGCAGGCGACCGGCCATTAAAGTAAAAAACAACCATTTCGCAATGAAATAAAGAAGCTCGTAAAAGAGGATGTTGAGTGATCAAAGAGAATAGAAAAAGATACCAAAACCAAATAGATTTGGCAAAGGGGAGTAAAATTATTATACTGAGTTTAGGGTTCTACAGCATCTGTATATAAAAACACTTAATATTTTTAAGAAATTTTGTGATTTGCTGTTTTTTCAAGCTAATCCAACGATTTTTCGTTTTAGCTAAAAAACACTTGAATTTAACATCAAACTGCAATAGAGTATATATTAATAGAATTAGCCAGGGTACTGAAACTGGTGGCGGCGAGCGCATTGCGAAGCGCGCTCGCTTCCAGGGAGCAGAGGGAACATGGGGTTCCCACACGGGGGGGGGTCGTCTACCTGTTGTTGTAGATGGCCCGAGGTATGTCGGGGCACCAGGGACTTCCTTTCTAGGGTATACCTGGTTCCCCGGCTATTAGTACCCGAGACGGCGTGCGGTTTTAGTCGGTTCTAGTCCGACATGCTACCGATAGGTAACAAAAAGGGTAACAAAAAGGTAAAAAAAGGGTACTGAAACTACTACTCTGGTATGCCAGATCTGATTTATCTGGTTAGACTATCTATATTACATTCTATTCTCAAAGTTTAGGCAGAAAGACCCTTATTAAAAGTTGTCTTTTCCCCAGCTGCCCGTCAGACAGCACCAAGCATCTTCACCCTCGGCAACGGTGAGCAGTGTCTCGGAACAGACAGGTCTACCGGCGGAGTGTGTCTATCCAGGAGCCAATGCAACACGCAGGGGGGTAAAGCTATTGGCTTCTGTGGGGTATTCGGAACATGCTGCTCACGTAAGTAAAACACGATTGATAGATTTTTTATTGCACACCATAATTAGGATAAATAAAACAAAACCAGTGATACAATGGGCGGTCTTATCGCAATCTGCGATCTCTTCCAGGCAACCTTTAGATGGACTATACTATACAAGGTGTAAGGGACGTGAACATGGGGTTCTCACACGGGGGGGGTCGTCTACCTGTTGTTGTAGATGGCCCGAGGTATGTCGAGGCACCAGGGACTTCCTTTCTAGGGTATACCTGGTTCCCCGGCTATTAGTACCCGAGACGGCGTGCGGTTTTAGTCGGTTCGAATCCGACATGCCACCGATAGGTGGTATCCGAGGCGCGATTTCCGCACGGAAAAAAAAAGGGTGTAAGGGACGTCGTAACGAATATTGAAATAGTGTATACAAACCACCATTCTGAACCCAAAATGATTCACTAAATACCGCGTACGGTCAAAAACTGCAATTTCTCCGTCCGCCATCTTGTGTTAGTGTGCGTAGACTGTTTACACGGAATACAAATATAGTTATTACTTTTCTATATATCTACGGGGAATGACTTTAACCTTTGACATATGATTGCAAGAAACGTTTAATTTTCCAGCAGAAAATTCCAATGATTGTCGACTCCTTATGATGGTCTGAATACACTATTCCGGTATCCGTTACGACGTGCCTTACACCCTTTCTAGTAATATGTAGCGGGTGGTGCGTATTTACAATTTCTGTATATTAACAAGCTTAATTATAGAAAAAAAAATAGTTTAAAAAAACACGCTTTTTATAGGAAAATAAACTAAAAAATTGAAAATTTATTAAAATTTGATTTTAGTTTTTTTAAAACAATTTTTTTTTCAATTACTGTATTGTCATCGGTCCTCGATATATCTACAAAGTTTGAACGAATTCTGACCGTTTAAAGTCAGTCAAAATCACGCCCAAAGGAGTCGGTTACAAACATACAAACAAACATACAAGTGAAGCTAATATAAAGCGTGTAATAACAAAAGCCTGGCTGTGAAAATGTTTAGGTACTTAATAATTAGAAACAGGCCACAAAAAAATTGTAAAAAATGATATTTTGGCAAATGTACCGTGTAAACAAACATATGCATTTAGTAAACAGCGGTTATTTTAATATTACAAACAGACAGTCCAATTTTATTTATTTGTATATATAACACAATATTTGTATGGTCAAAGTTTTAACAGTAGCTAAGTATTATTTACTTATTGAATTCTGTTAGTTAACACAGGACCTGTTACTTGTGTGTAGTAACGGTTTTGTTTGAAATAAACGTTGGTAGCAGATAATTCTTGGAAATGTTTGCATATACTTTGCGCGTGCGCAACCTTTAACCAAACTTCAACATAGTACTGTCGTACTCTTACAAGATAATTTTAAAATACGACAAATATTATCTTAAATATAAAATTCTCGTGTCACAATGTTAGTTACCATACTCATCCGAAACGGCTGGACCGATTTTTATGAAATTTTGGGTGCACATCGGGTAGGTCTGAGAATCGGCCAACATATATTTTTCATACCCCTAAATGACAAGGGTGACCCACCTCTAAATTCTTTTTTTCAAAATTTCCTAGAAATAATGTAGTTTAAAAAAAACGTTTGCCGGGTCAGCTAGTAATATATAGTTTATTTTAGTCTCAGGTTCATTTTTTTTTTTTCCCCACCCTATCCTTGTCACAGCTAGTCACATTTGAGACACGCCTCCCTCCCTAGTGTGACGTCACATATTTTACATTTAGAAATTATTCAATAAAAACAGCAGTGGGAAATATTTTGAAGTTTAGATAGAGGTTTTGAAATGTGAAGTCACGAAACTTAAGGCCCTTTCTACCCTTTCGAAGTTTAGAGGTATCGTAAGTCTACTAAGACTTAAAGCCGACCCCTAAAACTGGTTTGGGAAAAGGGCAAGAAGAAGGAGGTATAGTTTAGTAAAAACTTTTATATGCAGAAAATCTGTCCAGCGCCACACAGCGATAAGAAACTAAACTACTTCGTAACTATTAATCCTACATCGCGCTTTGAAAGTTTCGGAGAAATTTCGATTTAAATTGAACCATGTATTATTATTATTTGTATGCAAAGACACATTTTTTATATCACCAAAGTTACAGAGATGTATACCTACTTTATCTTCTCTTCTGAATTACATCTTCTTCTCAACAGTGAACGCATGTGACATCCGCACAAACACCAAGGTAGCTTTGTTCATAAATCCTCCCCTCAACCGGGAGTCCTCTGGCCTGGAGTGTTCCTACAACGTAGAGATCAACAATAACAATGTATGCCAGATGAGGATTGACTTCGAAACCTTCAACCTTGCGCCACCCACCACTGTAAGTAACGTAATGGTATACCTTGACAGCTTTAGTATGGAAGAAAATAGGAGATTTTTGAAGTGAAAACTTCGTTCGTTACCGACACCTCTGTATATAAGTATCTACATATACGAGTATTGGCCCCGTTTACAGGAGAGTTGAGTTTGGGTTGAAATACATTGATAATAAAACTGTATATAATGTAAACATATATTGTGTATGTATATATATATATATATATATGTATATAGAGAGCTGTGCTTCGGCACAAATGGGCTGGCTCGAGCGGAGTGATATCAGGGCCTCACAACCTTTACCGGTTCCCCCCTCATTCCTCCCCCCTGCCTTTGGGAGGGGGGGGAGGAATCACGTACTTGTATCTTATGAATTGCAGCATTCTATAGGCAATGGTGGTCACTTACCCATATGCTCGATTTTAAAATCTAAAATAAATATATCATACCTACCATTTCATGATTGTTACCTATCATTTCATGTATTTTCTTTTCCAGGTGGAACCGGTAGAAAATGTAACCCAGCGGCCTGGTTACACGTGTAGGAACGATATCTTCGAGATTGCCAATTTGCAGGCTAACTCCGACTTGCTACCGCCACTGTGTGGTGACAATAATGGACAGCACTGTAAGTACATAACGAGACATATATTATGTAATACATATGTGGCGCCATCTAGATTTAAACTTAGCATGACATATACTGTGAGTTGTCCAACACAGGTAAATAAAAAAAGCCGTGTGGTGTTGTGGGACACCCGATAGGAACGAAGTTGTTACGATCGAGTAAAACTGATTAGACACGATTTTAATTACAACGCCATCTATGAAAGCGGCTATTACCTACATATTTTTCAGTTGGTTTCTAATTAAAACAATTTATACATTGGTAAAATCTCCTTGAGAAATGATGTCGAATACAATATTTTTTGCTCAACCTATAAGAACATAAATTTTAATTTTACTATTCGATAGATGGCGCTGAATGACTGACCAGTGACAATTCAAAATAAAAAGTGTCGTGACCAATTTTCGTAAGAATTTTTTCCGTCTAGCCCCCTTTCACAACGCGCGATAAGGAACTTCGTTCCAATAAGATACAATTTTAGGGTTTCGTAAGTACAAATGAAAAACGGTACTCTTGTAGTGTTTCTATCACTCCGTCTATCACAGTTAGAAATCTACTGGATCGATTAACTTGAGTTAGGAAGACGTATCAGTTTCTACTGCGATGATGAAGATGGATGAAATATAGCGGTCCGTATGGTGACGGATTAAGAATATAGAGTGTCATCACCCCTATTTATCCCGTGGGTGTCGTAAGAAAACTAAACTAAGGGAGAAAACTACGCAGGACAACATCACTGCAAAAAGAAGGAAAACTTGACGATACCAACCCGTCTGGCCAGCGTAGTATAGTAGGCCAAAACCTCCTTTCTAAGGAGAGGCTTATGTCCTTCAATGGACTATTATAGGCTGTTGATGATGATGATGAAAGCGGTTGAAATAGTTTTTTTTTTAATTTGCAAAACTTGTCTCGCGTGACAAATCAAATGAAAGGTTTTCTGTATATATATACAATTTTAGAATTACAACGATTAGAATAATATTACAGTTTCAAGTTTTTTCAGAAAATGGATGAAAATTTTCTCCCTTAACTCTGTTAATTTTAACTAAGCTAATTTTGAAAAAATATAATGTAAATTATAAGAAATTTTGTAAAGTGTGAAATGCAGATGTGACCAATTTCTAATAATTGGTGAGAAAACTTATTAAATAAATACATTACATTTGAAGTCTATGGTTCCAAAATTACATAGTAATTCTCTAAATGTGTACCATAAATTTGTGGAAAACATATATTCAAATCAACGTACGGAACCCTATCCACGCGAGGTAAACTCGCACTTAACCAGTGTTTTATTAATATATCTTACTAATATTGAATCTTCATTTAGTATACGTTCGTGTGAACGCCTCGACCAATAGCCGCGCCATCCGCATCAACTTCAAGATAGCCGACCGAAACTCGCAGCCGAATCTACCTCAAGCCACCTGGAAGATCAAGGTCACACAGCTGGAGTGCTTTAATACCCTGGGGTAAGTAAATCTCCCTGGTCCGGATGTCTTAATAAAAACAATTCGCGGATCCCTCCTATTACAGGCACAGAGTGGCAGACCGTGTGGTTGGTCGGTCTGATTCCGACACACCACCCCGCCGCAAATCCGGGTTAGGCGACGGCTCTAGGGGGTTTCCACACAAAAAAAAACTGAGTAACTTTACTGTGAAAACTGCTTGAAGCTTTAATTTTCTGGTGCATAAGCTCATGGTCACACGTTTCTATCTGTTCAGGTTCATTTCGAATCCTAGTAACGTTTTTAAAAGAGTGTTACCGACTTGGCCTGTGTCCAGCAGTGGACTACGATAGCCTGATGATGAAACAAGTGCATAAAATCTGTAGCACAGAACTTCCTTGATTCCTAACTGACAGAGACCTGCTGGTTTTACTTTCTTGTTTTTCTGTGATTGTTGTGGCAACACGTGAGCGTATAAATTTTAACAATATGAATTTCGAGGCGTGAATTTTATAGTGACCACAGTGTATTGTGTACCTACGCTACGCTTTTTAACAGTAGTTAAAAAAAAGTATTTAAGCGCCATCTATCGATGACTAGTCGTAACTACAAACTAGTTTTTATTATTTCGCGAATTTCGCGGCGTGAATTTTATAGTGACCACACCGTATTGTGTACCTACGCTACTCTCGATTAATTAGCGTTGTCGGACTTCGGGCGCAGCGGTTACATAATTATATTACGCGAGGACATTCGATGCGCGATACAGGTTCAGCAGTAGTTTGTAGTTCGACCAGCCATCGATAGATGGCGCTAAAATACTTTTTTTAACTACTACTTTTTTTATTTCTAACTGTGTTACTCTCTTTTTCTTTACCAGTAAATACCGCGACGGGATCTTCGAAGCCATTACGTCATCACTTCCCTCCACGCCGTTAGCTAGCTCAGCAGACCGTGACGAGTATCTTATTGGTAGGTTTTCTTTCGATTTACCTCATGATACTCTATTGTCTGTTCTAGAACTAAAAAAAAACTATTAAAAAAAATTGGTTTAAAATCTAAAAAAACGCGTTTTATAGAAAACCAAACTAAAAAATAGAAAATATTTTTTTATAAATTCGAAAAAAAAGCGTTGGGTGCCTGTTGTCAATACTAAAAAGCACCCCATGCTTTTTTTCAAATTTATTTAAATTAGTTTTTTAGTTTTTTAAAACTATTTTTTTTTTATTAGTGTATTGTCATCGGTCCTCGATATATCTACAAAGTTTGAACGAATTCTGACGGTTTAAAGCCAGTCAAAATCACGCCCAAAGGAGTCGGTTACAAACAAACATACAAGTGAAGCTAATATATAAATAGTCGATTGTTTATTAAAGATTAGTTAGGTCCCCTTTCCTATGTAGTATAAAGCTTCAAATACAACTTGTCGGGCCAATTCAGTAGGCTGATATACGACTGCATGAATAGCATAGTGGCTTAAACGGTCGCCACGCCGCTTGGAACACCACTTTATGTGATCTACACATTGTTGTTCGGAGTCTGGGGTGTTCTTTGTGTCCGTTTCATATATGTTTGTAAAGTCTCTCGCGACAGGATATATATATAAATATATATTTCTAATGCGAGAGTTGTCTTAAAAAAAAGCTATAAACACTGTTTCTTTACAAGCAAGTCTATTTTTTTTATGTTTAAATTACTTTTGGTTTTTAAACTAAAATCTTATCGGATTTAGAATTACATGAAGATAATCAAACAATTTATTTCAACCATACATGTTTATTCACTTTACACACTTCAATTCATGTATAACTAGTTATCAAAATTGTACCGTAAATCTCTAAAATAATAACCTCACTAAAGATTTAGGTAGGAAATATAAAGAAACCTGTCTGTCCGTGTAGTGACGGATTAAGAATACGGAATGTCACTACCCCAATTAACCCCGTGGGTGTCGTAAGAGCCGACTAATTGCGCAAAACAACGCAAGACAACAGCACTGCAAAAAGAAGAAAAACTTGACACAAACCCTGTACCAACCCGTATGGCAAGCGTGGTATAGTAGGCCAAAACCTCCTTTCTAAGGAGAGGCCTATGTCCAGTAGTGGACTATTAAAGGCTGTTGATGATGATGATGATGATGACGATGAATATAAAGAACCCTGTTTTTGTGAACAATTGCCTATTCAATAGTTATCCAAAAAAGATTATCAAGCTTAAAAAGAAGAGAAAAGAAAACACATGGATTTATATTGTCTATCTTCTAGTTTAATATCTCAAAAAAGATTCTAAACTAGTTGTAAGTAAACTGGCTTATCATTTTTCTTCTCTCTTTTCCTCAGCTCCTCCTGGCTGCCTCCAGTACTACCCTGACCGAGCTGGATACTTTGAATCCTTCAATTACAACCGAGGCGCTGGACCATATATTGCCAATCTCGTCTATGCTACCTGTTTTAGAAGAACATCTGATGTTTGCGGTGTCAAGTAAGTTGAACTGTTCTCCTTATGAAAAATCAGCAGCTTGACTACTACAGTTACCATCTCACCACCAGTCTCTGTCTCACAAAGCTCTAGGACTAGACTAAACCTACCCTCATCCCGACTCCAAATTCATTCAAATAGCACTCAAGTAATGTCTATCAAAATTTACAATAAATTACCCGAAGAAATTAGAAATTAAACCATATTAAATACATATATAAATAGATTAAAACAATTACTACTCCAAAAATGCTATTACAGCATCAATGAATACCTGAGCAATCAATAAATTAAGCATGTACATAAAAAACTGAAGTATAATTAGTTTTGTTAATTTGTATTATCTCTCCCTTTCTCATCTATTGCTGTGCCCGACAGGGTCCATGATGATCTGATCTTATATTTAAGTTACTATCTAAGTAAACATTGTGGAATGCAATACATATATTGAGTATTGAGATGACTGAACTGAGTGCTATTATAAAGAATTTTAACAGTCATGTATTCATAGATTTTTAAGCTATTGCATAGCTTCTATCGCGGGCCTTGAGCGTGGAGACCGAATCCAGAAATTCCGTAACGAAAATAACCTAACACACCCCACGTGATACTTTTTAGTTTTGCCATCTATCGATGAATAGCAGAACATTTAATGACTATTTTGAAATATCACGCTTGTCTCTTTAGTTCAGCAACTCGCCTCTAGGTGGCATTGGTTGTATCGGCGTTACTGCGCATGCGTAATCCCCCTCTTCGCCCCGTAATCTAATTAATATTAAAGAAAAAATAAATAAAGGAAAAAAATGCTGCATAAATAAAATAAATAAATAATTATAATTGCATAACTAACTTTTAAACTTTCGCGTTCCATGATAATTAACATTATTTTAACGGGAATTAACGCGATCTCTTATTTAGGGTATTACATACCTCTGGTTTGCCTGACGTTTCGACCAGGTTGCGTCAGGCAAACCAGAGGTATGTAATACCCTAAATAAGAGATCGCGTTAATTCCCGTTAAAATAATATTAATTATAATTGCATAAGTTGATAAAAAATGCTATGCAATAGCTTTACCGCGGCAGTCCCCGAGTGCCACACGTCTTTTTTTTTAATCTATATTTACATTTATAAAATTACTTACCCCGACTGACTGATTCTTCCACGCAGAGCCTACACCACTGGGGCTACGAACTTTACATTTTGGCAGCTGATGCTTTTTTAACCCTGATGTATTTTTTCACAACTCCCTTAATATGGGTATCAAATGAAAGGGCTTGACTAGTAAGAATACTATACCCTATGAAAAATTTCGAATCCAAGATGTGTGTTTCAATTATTTTTTATATGGTAAATTGGAAATTTTACCTCTAAAGAAGTAAAATAAAGGATGAACGCTTGTCTGGACCTTGCATCCTTTCTTAGTTAGAAAGACGAAATAGGAAATAACCAGGCGATCGAAGCCAGGCCCTATCTCGGGGGAAGAAGGCTTCCCCCGCCTATCGGCCAATACTTATAATATTTTGCGGCCCGATCGCATTTTTGCGGCCAGGCGGCCATCCTATCACCTACCAGAGGTCTCCACTCTCTGGCAGCCTGCGGCCCCGTTTACCCCGCTCCCTATCCCGTTCAGCGGTCTCTTTCTGGACAATACAGCTTCACTGAAAGAGGCCACTGCGCCCCAGCCCTCCTCACCCGCCAGCATGGCAGCAATGATTGCTCGCGGGGACAGGTCGTCCTATTTGGTCGACCAGGACCTCGCGTTCGCGTATGAGTAAGCCAGTTATTTTCTTTTCAAGGTTAACATCAGCGTCATTCGACGTTGCCAGCAGAGATAATGGCAACTTATACCTGGACACGGATTGTGAAGTCAATCCTGTGACCCAAGGTTTACCACAATCCGAAGACTACTTGTTCATTCCTCAAGCTTCGACCGCTGACGGTTTGAGGGGATCTAAATTCTGTGGTTCCAGTGCTAGTAATCAGATTATTGCATGTGAGTATGAAGTGGTGTGATAAACGAGCTCCTAGTTCATCAGCTAAATTTTTTATTTTTTCTTTATGTGTGTATGAGTATGTATATATATGTGTGTGGTATTACGACATATAAACCAAATGCCAAGATAGTTGGTATTTAACAAAACCTCTATCGTTTATTACCCTACCATAAATGCACCTACCTCATTCTTTCTCAGCACCGCCCAATCGGTCGACTGGCAGAGAATGCCTTAGGCATTAAGTCCGCCGATGCATGTACATGTTATAAATAAATAAATATTCTTTGCTCGATCCTGAGGTCCTGGTTTCCCTTATGACGTTTTAGATGTTATAGGGGAGGGGGATAAACGAGCAGCGTCTACTCCTGCCACCTGATGGTAAGTGACCACCGCTGTCAAATAGAAACCTGCACCTCAAGATTCACATGTTTGTTGCCACCCTTCGAGACCTCCCCTCAAAATCAGGGAGCCCAAACCCACCCTGGGTTTGGGCTCGAAAGAATTGGTTATCTCCGGTCGAGCAGACCCATTAATGATGAAGTTTGACTCTTCTATAGTTGTGATGTTGGAAAAGCTCTAGCTTATTAAATGGGATAAAAATTATGGCAATTAGACCAGTGGACAGTGCACTTCCTTGTCTTAGTGGCCTCAACAATCATAGAGCAGACATACGGGTATGCGACACCAGCTTCTTCCAGCTTTGCATTCTCAGTTCCTCACCATCCGTCTCAGATCACCCACTTGACAAGTTTCTTCATCACGACCTAAATAATATTTTCTCTTTTTTACAGCGGTACCTCCAGGACCCTTGTACGTACACTTCCACAGTGACAACTTAGTGACAGATGAAGTCAACGAATCAGGCTACAGGTTCTCCTACAACGTGCTGAATAACTGCTACCTGAAGGGTTCATTCTAGAACCAGATTCAATAAAAAAAAAAGTCTTGCGGAAGCAAAACGACCTATTAATTGGTTGACTTTCTGGCCGATTTGTTTGCTGATTTGTTGGCCAAATTGTTAGTGTTTTACTTGCGTAGCGACTCAAAGTTTTATTGAATATGGTGTATCAATTTCTGGAATTTGATAAGATTTTATTATGCCCGTATGGCCATATTGGATGCAGTCTTAGTTTTATATTGAAAAATATTAATAGAGTTGACTCTTTATGCCGTATGAGATAATAATCATAAAACAATGATAAATAAAATTTGCCCTTTTAAGTTATATGTAAAATAAGTTAAGGCTAGGCTTCATAAATGGCGTTGTGTTATAATTCGAAAGATTTTTAATAATCTACATATTATGGAATTATTTATGACAAGCGTTTGTTCGTTTAAATATTGGGTTTCTAGCATGGAACACGATGTTAAAAAACATAAAATGACGACTTTAAAGACTTATAACATATATTGTTCTAGTATTTATCCATAGAGCATTCATGACATTATTGATTCATATGAAAAAGAATAACATTTAAATAAAGTGCCATCTAGCGACTTCGTTGTAAACTAACTGAAAGCTTAAGAGGATAATTTTTGACCAACATGTTTGACAACAAGTTGGAAAGATTGTTTTACAAGTCGTCTAACAAATCAATAAAAAAATACTCCTTGTGCATTTTTCTTTGCATTTATATAGATATTAAATTTAAAATGAAATCATGCATTTATTATTTTAAGCATATTTTTAATAAATTTTTATTTATATACAAATAACTTTGTTTTAATTACTTTGACAATTTTGAAGCTTGAATTACCACTGATGCGAAAAACGGACCCAATTCAGCCTTGTGTCAGACGAAAGCCTGACGCTGGTTTCGAATTGGGACCAAAATGACGCTATGCGTAAAACCAGTTGCAGACCCTAATTGCTAAGCCGTGTACATGAATCATAAGGTTAATAACATATAGCAATAATATATAACAAGACAAATAACAGATAAACGGATCATGCTAGTATACACTACGATATACACAACAACACCAATCAATATTACACGTTACCGCAGTCACAATGATGACCAGATGAACCTCTTGTCGTTACCCTTATACCATTAAAAAATAACAGCAAAATAGATAGTTATGGAATCGTACCAACTTGATACATCATGTAGCACCTGTGTTTAGTTTTCTGTCTGTACAAGTTCGGTACAGAATACCCAGACCTCAGAGCGAGATAATTTATTTAATACCAGTGCATATTTATGTGCCACCGAGGAACAAAACCATATCGCGATTTAATAATATAATAAAACGCCATCTATCAAGCTTTCAAGAAACTAAATTAAAATATACACAAATTAACCTGAACAAACTGAACACTGTCATTGAATTTTAGTGTTTTTATTTCTTGATATTAGTTGATAAGATAATAATCGGGTAATGTCACCCGACGAGGTCAAGTGACACTAGAGGTTGGCACTGAAAATCAGTACTGGGGTGGTTGCTACAGATCTTAGTGTATGCTGAGTATCCATCCAAATTTCTGATACACCACGCAAGTGGCTGCCTTGCCTAGTCACACATTTGACACGTGAGCGCCAGTGAGGCTGTGCGTGTGCCGCTGAGGTGAATGCCACGTAGCCAGTGTTGCCGCATTGTGCGTGACAGAAACAGCATGTTTTTAACCGACTTCAAAAAAGGAGGAGGTTCTCAATTCGACTGTATTTTTTTTTTTTTATGTTTGTTACCTCATAACTTTCGACTGGCTGAACCGATTTTGATGATTCTTTTTTTATTGGAAAGCTGGTGCTTCCCGTGTGGTCCCATTTCAATTTGGTCTAGTTCTGACCATGGAATCCATGAGAAAACCATTGAAGTCGGTTTTTTTTGTTAAAATTTTACTTGTCTAGCACAGGGTTGCCATATGTATTTTTTAATTTATTTCTGTCTATCCTCATTTAAATTGTTTGTCGTGTATCTTAGAAATAAATTATGTTTTCTTTCTTTCTTCTTTCTTTCTATTGTTGTGTCTGATTGCTCAGAGATATGACATTATTACAAGAAACCCATAAAACTGTGGCTTTAGGCCGCACTCACCGCTTCCTCGACCAGTTCGAGTTGTTTGGATTGTACCAGGAAGGTCTGCTCGAATATGCAGGGTGCACCACTGCTTGTAAGCACGTTTTAGTCTTATTCACAGTTTCATTTTTAGTAACCAATAGAAAAACAATACCGAGCAAAGATCAGTCATCAAGGTACGATGTCTTCAGTACTCAGCAGTATAGAATTGAAATCAAAATGAAAAGGGTTTTTTGTTGAGACTACAACAAAATTTGTGAAAGACAAAACAATTTGTAAATTAAAATTTTTTTTCGGAAACTCTTAAATTCAAATAGTTGAAATTATCATGTACTAGCATTTGGCCACGGCTCCGCCCGCGTGTATGTTTGTTACTGCCTATGTTACTCGCTGATAATGTAGTTTTCCATTGGTGAAAAAATTTTTGAAATCGGTTGAGAGGCGCCGCCTTGTCACCGACGGGTGTGGGCAGAAGCTCTGCGCGCATTTGCGGCGGATTGAAATGGCCCAAAATCTACTATGATATGTATGTTCTATTTTAATAAGTAGGATACAATATTGTTATCCGTATGGCGACAGATTAACTCTTAGGACGTCGCGGCGCGCGGATGACCTATGACCCGTTACTGTCGCGCCCTTGAACTAGTGACCCAGTGTGAACAGCTGAGCGAAGTCATTATTACCTCAATATCCACGTTATTTTATAATTATATTCAATGAAATAAACAAATTTGGAATCCCTGATATATATTCTTCTAAATGTGACAGAGACGCTACCGCGTAAAAATTTGGTGTCACAACTGTTGTGACGGCGACGCGTCGGAGGTTATGTGATGTTAAATTATATTTATTTCTGTAAGTAAATCTTTTAAGATATTTTTACAAGTCGGAATTTACAGCTAGACGGAGCCGGCATTTCCTGAGACTCACTCTGGGAAGAAACCCAGAAACAAACCACAGAGGTGTATTTTTTTTTAGTCTATAAACACGGTTAAAGAAATCTGTGCGAGTGCAGTGTAGGGTCTGGGTAGGTCTCTTGAGAAAAGGGCCATAGTTTTAGAGTCGGCCTGTCCGTAAAGACGGCATACGGTACCAGGTATCACCTGGTATCACAACGCTTTACCGATATTAGTCAAGATCAAAGACCGGGAGCGCGACACTACCGCTAGCAGGACATTTAATTCACCACAACACACTGAAAACCACCAGAAAGTTACTAAATATAAACCAACATTATAAGCCAGCACTATCTTCACTCCCGTGTGGTGACGGATTAAGAATACAGAGTGTCACCACCCCTATTCATCCCGTGGGTGTCGTAAGAGGCGACTAAGGGAGAAAACTACGCAGAACAACAGCACTGCAGAGAGAAGGAAAACTTGAAACAAACCCTATACCAACCCGTCTGGCCAGCGTGGTATAGTAGGCCAAAACCTCCTTTCTAAGGGGAGGCCTATGTCCAGCAGTGGACTATTAAAGGCTGTTGATGACTATATTCACATTTATTTTTTAAGAATACGCAATGTCACCACCCCTATCCATCCCGTGGGTGTCGTAAGAGCCGACTAAGGGAGCAAACTACGCAGGACAAGCATGACAGCACTGCAAAGAGAAGCCCGTCTGGTCAGCGTGGGATAGTAGGCCAAAACCTCCTTTCAAAGGAGAGGCCTATGTGTTTTCGATCGATTTTCTAAAAAAATGTTTCACTTGGAGTTCGATAGATGGCGTTAATTCGTTTATGTAAATCGCGCTATTAATATTGTCATATTGATATTTATAAGGTCATCTGTATATGTTCAAAAAAACTCAGCTAGATCAAAAGATGGATTGTGTTTCATTAGCAAACCCTCTAGTCTTTACATTAGGGCAAGGAATTCAACCAGTCCAGCAGTGGACTGTTAAAGGATGTTAATGATGATGTTGACATTTATAAAAAAAACAAAAACACTCGTGGTTTAAATTATTTATATTTTACACAATATATAATAAAAAAAATCAGTATACAAATAATTAATCTTACTGTACTCGTATAACACGTATGAGATTTTTATACCCTTACATATTATCCAGTTTACCCGATCAAAACAGACGTTGTCCGGCTAATCCGCACATTGTCCACAAATATCAAAAATATACTTAACTCTAATAAAATATGACTATTGTTTATATTTTGATTATTATGCGACTATCCAATATGTTTCTTTATCTACAATGTGTGACATCTTTCCTCTCGCTTTAGTGAAAAGGGACGGAAACGTGTAACAGAAGCGCGCGCTATTTGATTTGACCAATGGCAGTGGCCGTCAGATGGTACATAATAATATTTCGGACATCTGACACAACGCCATCTAGTTTCAAACTAAGCAGGAGCTTGTACTATGAAAGCTAGATTGACTGATAGAATACTTATATACTTTTTTTGTAAATACATACATATTATAAACTAAAAGCACCCAAACTCCGAAACAAATATTTGCAGATTATACAAACATTTGGTCCGACCCGGGAATGGAACCCGAGACCTCAGCACAGCAGTCGTATACGCCACCACTGCACCATCGAGGCAGTCATGAGATGAGAAGTAAATGTTAAAAGTCATAAATTATACACCGTTTTTTCGTTTAAATATTACATTTCTAATTCAGATTCAAAATATTTTTTGTCTTATTTTATTATTGATCCAGTTTAGATGCAGTAAGCATTATTTTTAACATTAATGGAAATAAATAAAATTGAAGTGTCTGTTTGTAATGTCAAAATAATAGGTTTTTTTTATGCTCACACGGTTATTTGCACGATACCTATGCCTAAAAAAAAGTTTAAATGTTTTTGTCTGTCTGTCCGTTGGTTTGTTCCGGGTAATCTTTAAAATGGCTGGACCGATTTTGATTATATTTTAATACCAGGTCGCTATCTATAAAAACAGTAACTTAGCCTATTTTTTCCGGACCCAAGGCCTCATGGAAATTCCATACGAACGAAGTCGCGGGTATCAGCTAGTGTATTTATAAATTTACATCAAATGAATCGTATTTCTTACGGTATAAACATATTGTGAAATTAAGAGAGAGCCTTTTTATTACAAATGTTCGCTTGGGGCTTTTATCAAGGTCAACAGGTCATCAAGGTTAACAGCTTCGCCTAGATAAGTCTACTAGCTCTCAATTTCATGCTCAAGGCTTAGAATGATATGCGAAGACCAGCACTCGATTGCAGGTCACAAATATAATTTTACCCAGTTTGACTGGGCTGGTTAAATCACAAAATAACCTATACATTCACTGATTAAATTTTAAGTTGTTTAAAATCTTTTTTTTACTTTTACTGTGAAACAAAAATAATCTGTTTAATGTTAAGCGATTACCACCTGTCATGATATATAAAATGTTATGCGATCTGCATCAAATTTTATTTTAAAAAAACGCCTGAAGAAATTTAATGTGCATTCCTGCCTACCTCTTAATGGGAGAGAAGCGTGATGTTACAAATATAATATATATATATATATATATTGTATATATATATTATTTACAATCGTAGAAATTAAGTACGATTTAATAAAGATATACCGTTGTATTGTGTGTGTTTCAGGCCTAACAGGGGTCCTTTTCAAGTTTAAGTACACCGAAGCGACAGGTCGCCTCAACCCGTGAACAGGGACCCCTGTTGGTTGAAAACTGTGAAGAAAATACACGCGTCAGTATATTTTATTTTCTACTAAACTGTTTTTTTTTAGTAATAAAAATTGGGTATTTTTCTTTTAATTTAATACAAAAATAAAGTTGATAAAAAATGACATTTAATATTAAAAAAAACAAAGAATATATAAATATATCAAAGCAGTCTTATGTACAATAATTTAAAATTACAATAATTTAAAATATAAAATTAGCATAAAATTATCAATTTATGTAACCGTGTTTAAAGATTTTACAATTATTTTGAATAAACTGAAATATCAGAACAAAAATCTGAAAAAAAAATACATCCCTTACAAAATACATTCAGGAGTAATACAAAATATATTTTTTTAATTGCATAAAAAAATATTTTGTGTTGTTAAAACAAAATTTAATAATTTTACATGATGTATATTATTTCATTTTAAATGCATTTTTCTACTAAAATTTAAAAAATCTACATACTGTCAACTGGGGCTGAAAGCACTTAAGTAATAGTCCTTATGGGTCCCTAAGTCACTATAATACAGGGGCCCCTTTAAACCCTGTGGGGCCCCGTCATAATTTTCTTCGATGTTTAAATCCTGATTAAGCAACTAAACGCTCGTAAACAATAAACTAGGACCCTGGTTGACTTATATTTTAAATAACAATATAAAGTGCTACAAAATAAAATAGGATCCTAGATACAAAACGTCCCAAAGACACATAAAACCTTTGTAAACTGAGCCCAAAATGGGACCTGGGGAATTAAAGCCCCATTTATTTTATAAATCACCTCTTCAGTAGGACTCCGAAACATATTTAAATAGGGCTTTGTAAATTTCTAGTTACAAATTTAAGGGCTCCTACAGGGGCCCCAGTCTCCTTGGGGCCCCGTCATGTTTTCCATCGAAGATTAGGCCACCGATACTTACAAACACTATGTCCTGTAGAAGGGTGGTCCTCTACTCACTGTGTACGTTGAAAGAGGAATGCCTTTAGTGCCGTAGATGGCTTCAGGCGCGTTTTCGTAATCCACATCGTAGTATATTCCGGTTTGATTCTGGGGAAGTGCAAGAAGATACACAAATGTTATAAGTGAAATTGTAAGTTTGTTTGTTACACTTTACGGTCTTAATTACCCAACCGTTTGACATAAACCGTGTGGTGACGGATTAAGAATACGGAGTGTCGCCACCCCTGTTCATCCCGTGGGTGTCGTAAGAGCCGACTAAGGGAAAATAACTACGCAGGACAACAGCACTGCAAAGAGAAGGAAAACTTGAAACAAACCCTATACCAACCCGTCTGGCCATCGTGGTATAGTAGGCCAAAATCTCCTTTCTAATTAGACGTGGACTGTTAAATCTGTTTATGTGATGTTATGTGATTCGTGGAAAAGCCATGCCATGCATATATGGGTCTGCTCAACCGGAGGATACCACGGCGTCATGGCACACCAGTGTTGGGATTTTTTAAGTGTTAACTTTACTTTACTTTAAGAAACATAATTATATAATCATTTGTTATATTAAAATAATAAATTATCTATAATATGTATGTATTTAGAAATATATAAGTATGTTTATCAGCAGTCTGGTTACCGTAGGCTCTGCCTAGTTTGAGACCAGACAGCCTTGTGTGAAGTTTCTTTTTATTTTTTAAAAGCAACTAGGAATATATTCCTGTGTCGCGGGGTACTTTACAAACATACCTAAAATGGACACACGGAACACTCAAACTCAGAACAACAATTTGTGGATTACACAAAGTGTCTTCCAATGTGGGGACCGCAGTAGGAAGCAGCAACCACTACGCCATCCGTGCAATTATTAATAGGTGATTAGAGAATGCTTACGTGCATACTCCTGCTGGCTCTAGACTTGGGCCGAGGCACGAGGAGGTCGGCCCTCTCCTGCACGTGACTGGAGGCTTCAGAGCTGGTCGACTCTGTCGCCATCTGGTTTGAGTAGCCTGGACAAAGAAATATATATATATTTTTAGTATACAAATTCCAACCCGTCTGGCCAGCGTGGTATAGTAGGCCAAAACCTCCTTTCTCAGGAGAGGCTTATGTCCAGCAGTGGACTGTTAAAGGCTGTTGATGATGATGATGATACAAATTCAAATTCAATCATTTTTAGGGTTCCATAGTTACAACTTGGAACCCTAAATTTCAGAACTGTCAGTACTAGAAAGCTGTAATATTTGCAAAGGTATATTTATTATTAATGGTGATACTAATGTTGGTACTGAACGGGAATCGAATCAAATCAAATCAAATTGTTTATTTGCGTATTACAGGTTATACAAAGAACGGGTCGAACGGGAACTTTACCATAAAAAAAACCCAAATACTTTATTAATCATTCAAATTTACGTCTCATCGAATCGAACCCCAACTCACTTTAACGATCCATTAGTGCGACCAATCTATAGAAATAAATAAAATTGGAGTGTCTGTTTGTAATATTAAAATAAACGTTTTTTACTAAATGCATATGTATGTTTACACGGTACATATGGCAAAATAACATTTTTTACTATTTTTGTCTGTCTGTCTGTCTGTTTGTCCCGGGTAATCTCTGGAACGGCTGGACCGATTTCGACGGGACTTTCACTGGCAGATAGCTGATGACATAAGGAGTAACTTAGGCTACTTTTTTTAGACTAGCTTCGCCCCGCGGCGTTGCCCGCTGTTATAACAACAAACGCGGGTAACACCGCGGGTCTCAGGTAGTTTAAATATAAACACATACCATACAAGTTGTGATGCGAGGCCGAAGTGTTGGCCCGGGAGGTGACCGTGTTCATGGTGCCAGAGTGATGGTTGTGCAACCCCATCCTGTAGGACATTTCATGACTGCTATCAATGTAAAACACCATCATGCACAGATATTGTGATATATTTTTTATGGTATAAGGGGGCAAATGAGCAGACGGGTCACCTGATGGTAAGCAACTACCGCCGCCCATGGATAACTACAACTCAAACGTCACGAGTGCGTTGCCGGCCTTTAAGTCCCTCCCGCCCGAGTTGAGGGAGGGGGGATTTGGGGTCCAGGAACCTCACTCACTCAGTGAAAGGCAACGAAAGAATTGCTTAGCACCGGTTTTCTGTGAGGCCGTCGAGCCGGCCTATTTGTGCCGAAGCATGGCTCTCCCACGAAATCTAAGAGGACCCCTGTCATTCCCAAAACCAATTTGTTAAGGATCCCTAAAATATGTGTAGTATGTGTGTAGGTACGTAAATACTCTACATAATAAGGGGTGAGATGTTTGTTTGTTATACTTTAACAACTAAACTATTTATTTTTTAAAAGGCAACTCCCGCACTAGGAATGACCAGGCTTAATATCAAATAAAATAGTTAAAATGGGACTCTGCGAAGAAGGTCTTTTATAAACATATGTGCATGGGCCGGTGTTGCCACCATAATTTTGTTTTATTGATAATATTGGTTTCTACCCTTACTTATGTGTATAATGCGATTCTATTCTACTATCTTTCTCTTGTAGTTTGATTTTTACACCCTTTCACAACACAATTCGACATTTTTACTTGTAAATATTGTTGATGACGTTTTGACTGACAAGGCGTAGTTTTATTTGGCTTCGTTTGACTTCGCTGTTCACAGAGTACCTTCTTAACTGTTTTATTTGATCTGAGGCAATCATATTATATACATACAAAAGGTAGATACGCAACCAACGCTCAAAACGCGAGGGTCCTAATTAGGACCACTACTAGCGAGTGCACGTATTATTCAAGAAAATTCATAAAATGCCTTCCTGTGAATTGCGAAAGTGCACAAATTACGATAAAAAGGTAAATAAAGATAAATGAATATCATACCAAAGGTATGTGTATGTTTTGTTCTAAAATGCTTTAATAGACGTATATACACGGTTAAGGTAAAAAAAAATTGTGCGTGTCGTATGAATATCTTTGATCTGAGGTTATATCCGTGTGGTGACAGATTAAGAATACGCAGTGTCACCACCCCTATTCATCCCGTGGGTGTCGTAAGAGCCGACTAAGGGAGCAAACTACACAGGACAACAGCACTGCAAAGAGAAGGAAAACTTAACACAAACCCTATACCAACCCGTCTGGCCCGCGTGGTATAGTAGGCCAAAAAATCCTTTCTAAGGAGAGGCCTATGTCCAACAGTGGACTAGTAAAGGCTGCTGATCAGGTTTTACTTGAACACCTAAACCGATTTATTCAGACGAAGTACTGTTATTGATTTATTGAAATCGATGACGAGGAAAAGCTGCAATTAAAATCTAGTTTTTTTGTAATAACAGTAAACGAACAGGTAGGTCATGGTAGTAAGTAATTACCACCGCCCCCGCAAATCAAGAATCACTAGTGCCCTTTGAGTCCCCCACCTCCACCAGAATTAAGGAAGAGTGGGAAGGGGGGGGGGGGGGGGGGTTAGGCTCCAGTAACCTCAACGCACTTGAGTCTCTTGAGTTGTAGGTGCCTATGGTCGGTGGTAGCCAGTTACCGTCAGAACCCGCCTGTCCTATTATACAAAAAGAGTTACTTAGTAAATAATAAATAAGTAACCCATAACTATATTTAATAGTATATTACCTGGGCAAAGGCACCGGAGGTAGTGTGGGGTACCCGCCGAACATGGCTGAAGAGGGGCGCGTCGATATGCCCTGCCCTCCCTCCGGCTGTAAGATAAAAAAAATACATATTAATTTATTTCTTTATTTATTCATAACAATAATATAAACAATAATTGATGTTAATCCAAGTTACTATTCTTCACCTTGCTCTTGCTCGAAGGACCAGTTCACGCAATGAATGGTCCTTCGAGGCGGATAGTGAAGAATGTGGTATTTTTTAGAAAAGCTTCATATTACTATTTATAAACTGTGTATTGAGCGATGACCGACAGACAGAGTGAGTAACGCGACAATAGAATAAAAATTCACAAAAACAGTTCCTTGTCGCTATCAATGGCCGCTATATGAAGCCTTAGGCGCACGAAAAAAGTTGTGATGATTTCCACATAAAACGAAAACATACTTCAACGCCATCTATCGAAGACACGCCGAACTACTGAGTAACTGAGATCCTTCTATATATTGAAATCGGTAGAAATATGTTATATACTGACCGCATAGTGACTGGCTTGTGCCATCGCTTCTGCGATTTGTGCCCACCGCATCCTTTCTTCAAGCGTCACCTGGAATAATCCAAAAAAATATCATGTACCCAAAATTGGAAAATCATTCCAAGAATTGAAGACCATGGAACAGCTTAGTGCATTTTGCAGCTCGAACAGAGTCATGGTCGCCAGGGAAAAAGCTACTGGTGTATAAAAATAAATACGGTAGCATTTACATGTGTTCCAAATACTTAAGGTCACACACAATCTACCTATGTCGATCTATACTCATATTTTAAAAGACAACTCCCGCACTAGGAATATATCCTGTGTCGCGGGGGACTTTACAAACATACATGAAACGGACACAAAGAACACCCAGACTCAGAACAACAATTTGTGGATCACACAAAGTGTCGTCCCATGTGGGGTTTGAACCCACAACACTCGACGTAGTAGGAAGCGGCGTGGCGACCACTTTAACCACTACGCCATCCGTGCAGTCGAAGCCAGCACAAGTCGACGATCCTATTGGCTTAGTGCTTAATGACACCGAGTGCTAAGCCGGAGGTCGTGGGTTCGATTCCCACCTAGGACAAATAATCAGCGGTCTGGCTACCATAGTACAGGCTCAGTCTAGTTTGGGATCAGACAGCCGTGTGTGAGATGTATTAAAAAAAAAACTCTTTTCAGTACTCTACCCACATGGACCCACCCTCATTACCTATTAAAAATATGTGAAATATGTTACCTGGTAAGGTGGTTGTCCCACTGGTGGGGTTTTAACAGTGTTCGCCGCCATATAGTTGAAGATCGGGGAGCCCATACCAACTGCCTTCTGCTCACGGGACCATTTGCGACTGACAAAATTAATAGTATGTTATTGTAAAGGAACATCAGGATGGGACCCGAAATGGAGTCACCCGACTATAGCATTTAAGCATATAAAAGACTAGCTGCGACCCGCCATGTTCCCGTGGTTTATCAGATAAGTATATTAAAACGTTAGTCCGTGTGGTGACGGATTAAGAATACGGAGTGTCACCACCCCTATTCATCCCGTGGGTGTCGTAAGAGGCGACTAAGGGAGCAAACTACACAGGACAACAGCACTGCTAAGAAAAGGAAAACTTGAAATAAACCCTATACCAACCCGTCTGGCCAGCGTGTTATAGTGGGCCAAAACCTCCTTTCTAAGGAGAGGCCTATGTCCAGCAGTGGACTATTGAAGGCTGTTAATGAAAATATTAAAACGTCTATTGCGTCATAGTCGTAGAATAGTGTCGGATCTGACATTTATTGAACTTTACATGGCAGCCATTACAAATAATTATGTTGTTTTTTGACATAACTTTTTAAATTCTAAATTTGTTAAAAAATTGGCATACTAGTCAATGATAGGGTTTGTTAGCAAATGCAATGGATATAACAACTAATAATTGTACGATTTTCTAGAAAAATCACATGATTCATTTAACTTTGAGCGCCTATCAAACAAACACTGAATAATTTAAAATCTAAAATACATACAAGTTTTTCTTGAATGTAGTAATAATATTTAGAGAATGCAGTATCCAAATATGATAAAAAAAACGTATTTTTTTTTCAAAAAATTATTCTACGATCATGACAATTTATTTGATCGTTTTTTTTTATTATTAAAGAAATATATTGATATTTTTATTTTAATTCTTTGTTCATGCCACAAAAATACTAAGAGATAAAAAGTAGCTTATTTGATAATCCAGGGTGTCGGCTATATATACATACCAAAATTTAATCGAAAATGCAAACACACACTCACAAACTTTTGCCTTTATAATATTAGTGTGATTAGATTCGTTTCGTTCAAAATTATTAAAGTAGTATGGAAGTATTACTAAAAAGTGAAAGGTGCACTCGATAGGTTGCGCATAAAAGAAACGTAACAAGGTCATTCGATCACTATTTTTACTCCTTAAGCATACATTTTCATATAAGGCGCCCGGTATGAAAAAACTATGAAGAGTAAAATTTAGTGATCGAATGACCTCGTCACGTTCTTTGTGCGCAACGTATCCTGCGCACCTTTCACGTGTGTGTGTATAACTTGTATACTTGTGTGCAGCCAAATCTTTCTTAACGAGTAAACTCTAGTCGTGCGTCGTAGCTCACACACATTCACTTTTTGATCTTTCTTTCTGTCTTCTTATAAGACTTAGACAGCCCTACCATACAAAAAGCTAGGTATGACAGAACTGGCTGGTCAGAAGAAACAGACCTTGAAACCAGTTTAAAAAAATAATCTCCAGTAGTCTCCGATCAAAATAGTATCCGGTTTTAATTTTTTGTGTTTTTATTATAATGTTTTTTTTCTTAAGGGATAAATGGTAACCATGTTAAAATTTAATACGAATTTTAAAGTGTTCATATTTTGTTAGTAATAGAGAACTCACCTCCAGGACATGAGAGCAGCGAGAGTGAGAGCGATGACGAGGGCAGCGGCTAGAGAGGCTCCCACCGCCACCCCCACAACTTCACCGTCAACTTCGCAGGTAGACCCGTAGTATCCTGATGAACAACTGTCAAGGGAATATAGAATCATATTAACTTCAGTAGGAGACACATATTTTGTGAGTATTTTTCTAACCTTAATTTTATTGGGAATTGCCTATAAGCCCACATAAAAAAACAAGGAGAGGTTCGCGGCTAAGTGGTCATCGAGAAGGTTAGCACATTGTAAAGTTAAGCAACGCTGGCCAGGTCAGTCTATGGATGGGTGACCATTTCTTAGAACCCTCCGTGCCCTCCCTCGGATAGTTGAAGCCCTAAAAAGTCCGACAACAGTATATCTACAGAACTTCGAAATCGCCTTGTACTTGGGTTGTAGAGGTGTTATGGCAGTCGCTCCGGGTAACAAATCGAAGTTCAGCCGTATCGCAGTAGGCTTAAAGCCGACTCCAACCTGGTTTGGGAAAATGGCTTGGAGAAGGAAGGAGGGAAAATGAGCAATCGGGCCATCTGGTGGTAAGTGGCTACCGCCGCTCATAGAGACATGGCACTCAAGGGTCAGGAATCTTAATACATGACTGACATTGCAGAGGGGTTTAGCTAGTTTTTTTTTTTATTGCTGGCATCCTGCGTCAAGTTAAGCCCCCTTAAGAATGTAATCTTTTTAGATGGGACCAAGGTAGAACGTAAATTGATAAACAAAATAAGAGCTGGAGCAAAGGAAATGGCAAATTGGACTGAGCCAGCAGTAACTCGAAGGTAAGGTTACCAGAGTCCAACTCCTCAAAGGACCGCTTCGCACTTGTGACTCCTGAGCTGTAGGCATTCATGACCGGCGGTAGTTATTTACTATCAGGTGATCAACCTGCTTGTTGATCCTTTATACCACAAAAATAATATCGTATCCAAACTGACCAATGATAGTTACTAATTAGTTCGTCGTATTTCCGCTAGATGTCGCTGTAATAAATTTAACAATTAAATGACGTCACACAGATTTGAATAACCCGTTACCTGCAGTAAGGTTGTCCACTGGCGTACTTGCAGACCCCGCGCTCGTTGCAGTGCGAGGAGGCGCATGACTTGCATTCTCTACCCTGGCGGGAGGGGGAGGGAGCCGCGTCCAGGGTCGTGTCGGGACACATGCATCTGTAATGAAATGGACATTTATGTATAAATTTATTTACTTGTCTCAACGATTCCTTTTTTTTTTGGGTCTGATAACCAGTCACAAGCCCTTTTTTTTGTTGACGGGGTGGAAAATCCCTCGGATCTCTGGCTCCTTGGGTATGTAGGAGCCAGGAGAGGGTCGATATATCTTCGATATTATTAATATCGGTTAGCCGACTGTTCGACCGAATTGTACCGATCCTAATCATGAATGGACTGATGTGGAGGAAAAACCTCAAAAAAGGAGGAAATTCAATTGTATTTCTTTCTTATGTTTGTTGTCTCGGTGTGGCCTTGTAACCTGTTAATAATACGGAGTGTCACCACCCCTATTCATTCCGTGGGTGTCGTAAGAGTCGACTAAGGGAGAAAACTACGCAGAACAACAGCACTGCAAAGAGAAGGAAAACTTGACACAAACCCTATACCGACCCGTCTGCCCAGCGTGGTATGGTAGGCCAAAGCCTTCTTTCTAAGGAGAGGCCTATGTCCAACAGTGGACTATTAAAGGCTGTTGATGATATAATAAAGGCTGACCTGAATCCACCCCAAGTGTTGGTGCAAGTCGCTAGCTGATGGCAGTCATTCAAATCTGATGATGAACATTCATCGACATCTGAAAAAGACAATAAATATTATTAGTATTATTATTATTTGACAACTCTCGCATTAGGAATATATCCACTGTCGCGGCGGACTTTACAAACATACATGAAACGGACACAAAGAACACCTAGACCCAGAACAACAATTTGTGGATCACATAAAATGTCGTCCCATGTGGGGATCGAACCCACAACACTCAGCGCAGTAGTAAGCGGCGTGGCGACCGCTTAAACCACTACGCCATCCGTGCAGTCAAGTTAAAATTAAATTGAAAAAACTATATATTGACCGGTGTGTTGGAATAGTTGTTATAGTTAAACCGCCGTAAGCTTGGCCCTTGGCGGGTGATGCGCTCGGCTATACATGACACGGTATACTAACTCGATATCTTCAGATTTATTTGTTTGAGATTTAATCTACACACGATGTAATAAAAATCGAATTTATTTCCATGTATTATGATGTCAGTGTATTGTAAGTTTTTAAAATTAATTGTAAAATTTAATAATGTAAAATAATTTTAATAAAATCACCTTATCTTCATCATGTAAATTATATTCAGATACAATTTAAAAATTAAGTAAAATTAAAAATATTCTTTATTAGAACATTAACAGTTTAACTTAAACATATTTATACCGATGCCAATGGCTACTCGATGGCATCTCAATAGCGTGTCAGTGGTATGACACTGGCTTGGCGTAAACATAAAATAGCAGAATTGAGGCCCTGGTCTAAAATATCACATTGTCTATTATTTATTCAAGAAAAATATCCAACTGCTAAACTTCAATTCCAAAAATCTCCTAACAAAAACAAAAAATATTTACTAAAACCGGGAATCGAACCCGTTACTCACCATGTAAAGGCAGCACACTGCCGGCTGGAGAGTGTACCCAGAGTGTTGAGGAGCCGATGTTGTTGGAGCGTCTTCTGATCACTCCTAGCAGATGCTTCTGTATGTCAACCGCCACCTGGGACCGGGAGGTTTCTGGGGTCTCCTGCATCTGGGGGAGGCAAGAAAATGTAAAATAATTATCTTCTTAATAATTATAATGATGTTTTCGGACATCTGACACACAACGCCATCTATTTTAGACAATATGGAGCATTATACCTGATAAGTGTGACAATTACGGTGTCCATAACATAATTTACTGTAATTACTAGAGACCGGATTATATGCATTTGCATATTTGCATATGCTTTTGCTTTTTTTGACGTGACAACGTCTTATAATTCGATGGAGCCGGCTGCACGCATGAAAAAACATGACTCATGCGGCGTTACCTCGCTCTGAGGCGTGCAAGTGCAAGCGAGAGCGCGGAACGAGTGACAAAGAGGCACAATCGGCCTCCGCGTTCGGCAGCGTTCGACATCTGTCTCTCTCCTACTTGAGTGAGCGATGCGTCCGCGTGGACAGCTGCTACTCGTATACAATAATACATTTTTGAAAAATGCAACCATTCCATCAGTATTTTCTTATGACGTTGTCACGTTCAACTATCGTCAGTAAACCGACTTTACAGACAACCGATTTTTTAGCCATTCTCAATGGTAATAGCATATTTTACCTAAGATCTAGTTATGATGCGTATTATCGGTACATTTACAATATTTTTCCGAGTGCAGTGCATTCGCCCTGTGTTCCGAAAAGCGATAATATAGCGAATTCGACCCGGAACGCAGAATCAGTCGCGTCAGTCAGTCAACGCGCGCGTCTTTTGTTATGACAGTTACGATAAATCTTATCATCGCCAATCAAAAAAGAAATTTACTCATTGTATGCTGATTTTGAAATAAAAAAAATAAAATTTACTTTTCTCTTTTTTTGGGGGTTCCTAAAATTTATCTATTAATTTCTCATATTCTGCCAATTTTTGTGCATATTTCAAACATTTTTCATGCATATTTGCATGCATATAACAAGCTTTTTATGTTGCACGTAATCCGGTCTCTAGTAATTACGGTGTATTTAGCATCTAGTTTCAAACTAAGCAGGGCTAGTACTATGAAAGCTAGATTGACTGATAGAATACTTATATACTTTTTTTAAAATTTTTATTTTTTTAAATTAAATTTCAAAAAACAGCCGAAAAAAATATTTGCAGATCATAAAAACATTTGGTTCGACCCGGGAATCGAACCCGAGGATCATAGTAATAGCGCGATTTACCTAAACGAATCATCGCCATCTATCGAACTTCAACAACAACTTTGAAGGACATCGATAGTAAACACCCCGGTCGAGCCTGGCCCATACGCGACAAAGCGTAGCTCTCCCCAGTTTAGAATGATATATCATCTAGAATCTAGAATGATATATATCAGAATTTAACAGTCCACTGCTGGACATAGGCCTCTCCTTAGAAATAAGGTTTTGGCCTACTATACCACGCTGGCCAGACGGGTTGGTAAAGGGTTTGTGTCAAGTTTTCCTTCTCTTTGCAGTGCTGTTGTCCTGCATAGTTTGCTCCCTTAGTTGGCTGAACGGGATGAATAGGGGTGGTGACACCCTATAATGTCAAATGTCAGGTGAATGATATAAGGACATACTAACCAACACTGTGAGGTTGACGTACACCCCTGGGTTGTCCTCGTCCCCCTTATATATAGAGTTGACTGAGCCACTCACGAAGTCATCAGAAAACGGAGTCATGGAGAAAGCTGAATCCACCTGCGGCAAATAAGGGAGCAGGCATTAATTACGTGACGAGGATTTTGAATATTATAGTAGTCACACTAACTCGGTGAAAAGTGGTGGTCTGTCATTTCTGCCACTGACTTTCCAGGGCTAAAAATACTTACAGCTCTCACAGCTTCATAACTCAACTGCTGATAAGGGTCTGTATCCTTATCAGCCAGCTTAGCGTCCCACGCCACCTGTACATATACAAAAAATACATATAAACATTAAACACTGTAGATTTCTATTCAAATACTAGATTATTTGGAAGATTTACCTAAATATAAAAATATAATTAGTTTCTTTCTTTTTTTAAAGACCAACTCCCGCATTAGGAATATATCCTGTGTCGTGGGGGACTTTACAAACATACATGAAACGGACACAAAGAACACCCAGACTCGGATCAACAATTTGTGGATCACACCAAGTGTCGTCCCATGTGGGGTTTGAACCCACAACACTCGGCGTAGTAGGAAGCGGCGTGGCGACCGCTTAAACCGCTACGCCATCCGTGCAGTCAAAAGTTTCTACGATTGAACCTGACTAGATATTAAGAAGAAGGGATAAGAAAAATTGACATTTTTGATGTTGGAGCGATCGAAATATAGAACAAAGATGTTTACAAGACAGGACACAACAGAGCTGAAATTTTGCTGTGTTCTGCCTTTAATCTTGGATTGTTTTAGAAATAACTTGTTTTATAAAGAGTACTGTTGATAATTTTAAGTCTTAATAAGTGACAGGCCAGAGGACGATCTGATCAGGTGGCCAATTCTCGTAATAAAAGTTCGATCACAATTCAGTTCCGATCAACTGTTATAAAAGGTATTTTTGTAATTTAAGTGTCTGTTTGTAATGTCAAAATAATAGTTTTTTTTTCATGCTTTCACGGTATTCACGGGTTTCATGCTTTCATGCCTAAAAACTGGTTGAAATATTTTTTTTGTCGTCTGTTTGTTCCGGCTAATCTTCAAAACGGCAGGACCGATTTTGATAATGTTTCACTACCAGGTAGCAGACTATATAAAGAGTAACTTAGACTATTTTTAACCGACTGATTTGAAAATTTTGCATCGTACCGTACTACACCACTGGGGGGCAGCACTTTTGAAATTCCCCGCGAACGAAGTCAGGGGTACCAGCTAGTTGAAATACTTTTGCACCAGGGACTTCCTTTCTAGGGTATACCTGGTTCCCCGGCTATTAGTACCCGAGACGGCGTGCGGTTTTAGTCGGTTCGAGTCCGACATTCCACCGACAGGTGGTATCCGAGAGGATTTCCGCACGAAAAAAAAAAAAAAAAAGTGGTACCAGCTAGTAAAGTATTAAACATCCAACGTTGACTGTAATGTGATTATATCATATTGTGATTGAGGAATCAATCGGTAATCTACTAGTCTTAGTAATACTTTACTATTTTACTACGAAAATACCTTTTATAACAGTTGATCGGAACTGAATTGTGACCGAACTTTTATTACGAGAATTGTCCTTCTGAGGGCTGAGTGCAAGTTTATTTCACAACTACTCGCTGTCGACGGCGAGTGCGTTTAGCGTTGCGATTGGTGGAGATTTCAGTGCGGGCCAATCGTAGCGCTGAACGCACTCACGGTGACGATCGAGTAGAAGTGAAATAAACTCGCACTTGGCCCTCTGATCTCAACGCTATCAGAACTTTCTTTTTTTCTTTTTTTTTTTTTTCTTTTTAAAAAGACAACTCCCGCATTAGGAATATATCCTGTGTCGCAGGGGACTTTACAAACATACATGAAACGGACACAAAGAACACCCAGACTCAGAACAACAATTTGTGGATCACACAAAGTGTCGTCCCATGTGGGATTTGAACCCACAACACTCGGCGTAGTAGAAAGCGGCGTGGTGACCGCTTAAACCACTACGCCATCCGTGCAGTCAATCAACTCATGATAACCACTACCGAAAAGCCGAAAACCTAGCAGTATGCCACCAATACACAGTAAGAGTTCAGAACACGACCCTCAGTAATGAAAAAGAGTGGGAAAAAGAATACTGACTTACCTTTCTATCATGGAACCTGTCAACCCTCATATTGAGAAGTAGCGACACGACCCTTCGGCAAGGGTCTCTGTGGACACGGCGCGCGTAACCTGGACGGCACTGGCAGCTGGAGATACCTGTGACAGAATTATATGGTCATATTTTATGGTGAGCCACGTGGCCTGGTCTGTTAGTGTAATAATTAGTGGTGCTGACTGCTATGATAATAACAATATTCTACCACATTCACACAACGCCATCTAGTCCCAAAGTAAGCAGAACTTGTACTATGGGTACTAGACAACTTATATAAATACATATATACTTATTTTTGTAAATACATACACATTACACGTAAAACACCCAGACTAAGTCAAACATTAAATGTTCATGCACACAAATGTTTAACTTGAGCGGGAATTGAACCCGCGACCTTTGGATTAGCAGTCCGTTACACAAACCAATACGCCATTTGGTCGTTAAATTATGGATGTCGTGGGTTCGATTTCCACCCAAGACCCATTCTTTTTGTTTTTGGGTGTAATATATATGTGTGTGTGTTTACTGATATATAAGGATGTTTATCAGTCAGCAGACTGGCTAACATACCAGGCTCAGCCTTATTTGGCCTATGCCATACCAGAGCCGGTAACCGGACTGCTGATAAACATACTTATATTTACTGCATATATATACATCGCCAGAGACCTCTGGTGGCAGATTAATAGCTGCTTTAGGGGAGAGGATGGCGGCCGACTGGACATAGGCCTCTCCTTAGAAAGGACGGTAACGGATTAAGAATACAGAGTGTCACTACCCCCCTACTTATCCCGTGCGTTCCGTAAGAGCCGATTAAGGGAGCAAACTACGCGGGACAACAGCACTGCAAAGAGAAGGAAAACTTGAAACAAACCCTATACCAACCCGTCTGGCCAGCGTGGTATAGTAGGCGAAAACCTCCTTTCTAAGGAGAGGCCTATGTCCAGCAGTGGACTAGTTAAGGCTGTTGATGAGATAAGAAGCATACAACTCACCAGCTTCAGTTCTACACTTCTCGTTCTGTGTCTGATCACAAGTGGAATCATCTCCCACTATGCACGTGTCGATTCTGTAACAGACAGACATATGTTTAAATCAGAGCTCAAACAAGACACTTATCAGAGCTCAAACCCCTCTCCCCCCTGTCTTCTAGAGAAAAGAACTCAAAAGGCAAGTCACTTGTAACTCTTGAGAGGCAGTTGGCCATGAGCACCAGTAGATACTATCTTTTAAAAGATTTCTAATGGTACAAGAGGCAAACGAGAGGACGTATCACCTCGTGGTAAGTGATCACCGCCGCCCATGGATACCTGCGACTAAAGAAATGTACAAGAGGAAGTCCAGTTTGAGTATAACTTGAAAAGGGTGAAAGTTATCTGACTGCGAATGCTTGACGATAAATCTGTGCATATTCCACCTTTTATATAATATCTTTCATTAAAAAAAAATTGCAAATTGGCATGATAAAAGAATTTTCAAAATCAGTCTACAATTGACGAAGATATTTGACAAACATACAAAAAAAATAATGTCGAATTGAGAACCTCCTCTTTTATGTTTTTGAAGTCGGTTAAAAATGGCCGGTAACAATTTTTGTTAGCTCAGAACTTCGTCATTTTGGTCCCTTCAACCCCTAAGGATGAAAATGAAGGAATGAAGAATACATTTTATTATGATGTAAGCTCTGATATATGTTTTTTTGTGTATGATAAGGTACGATGGGGTTGGAGTATCCTTGTTTATAAAAACCCCATATTAATACTTAAAAAAAAAAACAGCTCTGTAATACTCTTTTTAATAGTCAAGTTAGATCTAAGCGCAGCGCGATCTCATTCAGTTTTAGCGACTAATTCATCATCTTCATCATCATCATCAGCCTATCGCAGTCCACTGCTGGACATAGGCCTCTCCCATTGCACGCCACTTAGACCGATTTTGGGCTTCTCGCATCCAGCTCCTGCCAGCCATCTTGCGCAAATCGTCACTCCACCTGGCCTGTGGGCGTCCTACACCACGTTTGCCGAGACGCGGTCTCCACTCAAGCACTCGTTTTCCCCAACGGTTGTCGGTTCTGCGGCTAATTATTAATAGCAAAAATACAAAACTATATACCAATCTCTTGTTGGCTGGAGACGTTTATACTGTACAGCAGCTTAATTCAAAGAGAATGACGAAAGACAGAGAGATAACCAACCAATCTGTGGAACGGCTTATCGTCTGCGGTATTTCCGGACCGATACGACCTTCAAACCTTCAAGAAAAGAGCGTACTCCTTCCTAAAAGGCCGGCAACGCGTTTGTGACTCCTGATTTGCAGACGTTCAAGCGATAGTCACTTTCCATCAGGTGACCCGTCTACTTAATACTACCTACTAATTACGCATTGAAGTCGGTGCTAAATTTTGAACTGTAAACAATTTTTAGTATAGATAAATATTATTATTAATTACCTAACAGTAGGCTGAGGTCTTCTATACCCTTGTTGTGGTCTGTGGAGGGGCGGGTGTTGAGGGTGAGGATGTTGCGGATGCTGTGCAGGTCTCCTGACTGGTGGCTGCGGTACATCATCCGCTGGGATGGCGACACCTGTTCCTAGTGTCTGTTCTACTGGAGGCGGGGGGATGGGTGGAACTGAAAGAGACAGTTTTTTTTTGTTTTATTTAAGATATAGATTTTTTTTTTTCGGTGGTGGGATTCATCTATCTTGATTCATCTGTGGGTTCGAATTCCATCTTTACATACAAAACAATTTTCCCTGACTGACTGACTGACTAATTAATCAACGCAGATCCTAAACCGTTTGGGCTAAAAACTTGTAATTTTTGGCTGCTGAGGCTTTTGTTGTAAGCACCCACTAAGAAAGATTTATTTTTAAATTTCACCTCTACGGGGATAAAATAAAGGATGAATGGTTGTATAGCAGTTCGACATTTTCGGAATCGGAAACACGAAATCTTCTATATAAATGAAAATAATCGTCGAAGTGTATGTACACACATAACTACTAAACGACTGCTCCAAATAGAATAATTCTTTTTTATTTTTGAGTTTTTTATTGTCAGGTCAAGGTTTTTCTGAAAGAAAGTTTAAATAAAATCTAAGAGATTTTTTTTTAATTTCATAATATTTCGGACATCTGACATACGATGCCATCTAGTTTTCAACTAAGCAGAGCTTGTACTATGAAAGCTAGATTGACTGGTAGAATAATTATATACATTTTTTTTGTAAATACATAGAAAATACTAACATTATAAAGAGGTAAAGTTTGTGAGTTTGTATGTTCAGGTTATTCTTAGGAACTACGAGTTCGAATTGAAAAATCCTTATAGCCCTTTATTGAGGAAGGATATATAAAAAAACATGTGACGACACTTTGTGTAATCCACAAATTGTTGTTCTGAGTCCGGGTGTTCTTTGTGTCCGTTTCATGTATGTTTGTAAAGTCCCTAATGTGGGCGTTGTCTTTTTAAAACAAAAACTAAGGTGCTAGTACTAACCAGATTGCGGCAAACTCTGTACATGAGTCGGCTTGATGGTCGGTCCAGGAGTGGAAGTATCGAAGAGGTTGAGGTACGTCCTCTTGCCGTCTATGGAGACGAAGCCCTGCTCTCCTGATGCAGAGACTATGATGTCATCTTGGTGATGCTCATGACCAATGTTTACGTTTTCTATATGAACTGCAATACAAAAATTGTGAAGTTTTTAGCTATAAAAAAAAGTATTAATATTATTTCAGGCATAGGACGTCCACTGCTGGACATAAACCTCCATAAAAAACTTTGAAGAAGCCCAATTTTTAAATGATATAGGAGAGGAATCGAAGTATTTATCGTGGATGGGAATCGAACTCACGACCTCTGGTTTTGCAGTCAGGATCAATAACCATTAGACCAACCATTAGTCCAGCGAATGACGGTTTTCGGCTCCCAACTTTTTCAAGAAAGATGGATTTTGCTGAAATTTTGACAGTAAGTAGAGAATACCTCAAAAAGTTAAATCTACTATATGCTGTACTATGCCGATGTGTGCTTTTTCGTTAGGGGTGAATACCAACCTAACTAGAGGGTGGTAATCAATAGAAGAATGAATTCTAAGCTAAAATGTTCTCAATCAATTCATTTCGAGATATTCGTGATCGAAAACGTCAATATTTTTCTAAAAACAAAAACACCTTTTTAATGGTTTTTCACAAATAACTCAAAAAATATTTTTTACGATGAAAGTGGTTACGTTACTTAGTGAAAATGAAAAATTGTGTACAATCCTTAAGCAACTTAACTTATTTTATTCTATTCTTTCCTATTTCATTCTTACCTGAAGCACCGCCTTTATCTGATCCCAAGCCCTGTATAGCAGACACGGTGACGTCAAAGATCTCTCCATACCCTGGAGGTTTGGTATCCACAGCGGTGATCACGGAAGCGTCAGGCCTGTACCTAGTGCCGTGGGGTTTGAAGTCCGGATCGTCCAGGACTATGCCGGGACGAGGACGGTAGGGGTGGTAGGAGATGCCTGGTGATTGGGAAGCTGTGGGATAATAGAAATGGTTAATTATATAAACTGATAATATAATAGATCTATCTATACTCGTACGCACTACGTAAGCTTTCGTACGAAACGAAACTTTCTTGGAACCTGATTGGTCAAGGGGCGGGGCTTGCTCAATGCATCACTATTTACTTAACGCGAATAGACGTATTTTATTTGATATTGTTATTTCTTTGTTGATACAGATCACGGCTACTTAGACGCATTATTTACAACAATAATGAACAGTACCTCTGGTACATCATGAAAAATCAAGAAAAATTATACTTACTCGGTATTGGCTCTGAATTTATCGATGAAGACTCAATAAGACTTGGAGTAGATGTTGTTACATTGACGGTTGGAGCTGCACTGATCAATCCTTCAGTTGGAGTCGGAGTAGCAATGGACACTGTACTACTAGGTCTCACCGGTATCGATGGCTCCACGATTTGGATGACCTGGTCAAATTCATTTTTAGTTTTGTTAGAAGGTTTATCTTCCAGTTTAACTTTTTCTTTTGTTTTTTCTTTCTCGCTTATAACTGTTTCTTTCTTTTTGTCATTCTTTGATTTTTCAACTTTTTTTTCTGTAGTGGTAGATGATTTTTCTGTAGTAGTCGGTCTTTCTGTAGTAGTCGGTTTTTCTGTAGTAGTCGGTCTTTCTGTAGTAGTTGGCTTTTGTGTGGTGGTTGCTTTTTCTGTAGAGGTCGGTGGTTGGGTGGTCGACTTCTGCGTCGTTGCTGCTTCTGTCGTAGTTGTAGTAGTAGTCGTAGTTGTACTAGAAGAAGCTGTACTCGTATCATATATTGTAGTCGTCTCTTGCTTATCTTCTTTAACAACATCAGGTTCTGTAATACTGACTTCAGACGATAAAGAATGAATGGACTGATCTTCATTGTGAATTGTATTTTCTGAGTGAGTAGTCTCATTTTCGTTTGCGCTGGCATCGTTTGGATCTTCCTCAGTATCTGAAATGTCTGGTATATCAGGTAATGGTGGTAAATTTGGCTTATAAAGGGGCAGTCCGGGGTTTGGTCTTCTGTTTGGTGGCCTAGGTCTCGGCGGTCTTTGCCAAGGAGGTAACGGTCTGTGGAAACTTGGTCTGTTCAGTGGTGGTACAATCTGTTCTGGCAAATTTACATGCACCGGTGGTCTATCAAATGGATATGGAGGAGGAGTTTTAGTTTGATGGAAAAGTTGAGGAGGTGGAGTGATTGGACCGTCAAATTCTGGCATTGGAGGAACATCTGATATTCTTGGAGGACCCCGGTTATTGATTCTTGAGGCCATAGGACGTCCAGGACGCAAGAGCTGAGAATTGGCTTGAACGTTAACATTTCCATTCAAAAGTTTGACGATTCCAGTAATGATATTCTGGATATCTGAGTTCTGTCTGGGACCATCTTTAGGGGTAGCTGTCGCAAAGATCGGCTGCACTGCAGTAGGCCGTATTCTGGGTCCCATCGGCGCCAGTGCCCGCGCTTTTGGAACCCGCTTCCCTTCCCCCGGCAACCTGAACTCCAGCCTGTCTCCGAAACCTTCCGAAGACAGCATAACTTCACCATCACTTCGTAAATACGATATGGTTTTGGTTGGATGTATATCGTAATATTTTCTTTTATTGTGTATCTCTAAATGATTATCAATTTCATTATTTGATGTTGGAATTTCATCTGTGCTTATTGCTCTTGAACTTCTGATTGGATCAGCAGATTTGGTTAAAGTCGTAGGTTCATCTGAACCGTCATTATCATTAATTTGAAGTTTTTCTACATTAATACTAATACTAGGTTCTATTTTTAAGTCTATGTTTGCCGTTTGACTGGTTTGTAGTAATCCGTCAACGGATGATTGATCGATGATAGCCGATTTTGGTGATAATTGTGATATTGTGAACGTTTCTTCGTAACCTGTAACAATGGAAAAATCAATAAGTTATCTATACATATAAAATTTATTACCCTATCTGACTGACTTTTTCATCAACCCAGAACCTAAACCGCTGGGGATAGAACTTGAAATTTTAGCAGCTGATGTTTTTTATATTGGTAGGGTCCACCATCAACGATTTTTGGAAATTTACCCCTAAGGGAGTAAAATAAGAGATGAAAGGTTGTTGTTCGCCGTTTCCCAGGTTAGAAACACCAAATACGAGACAGCTAGTTTGGTTATAAAAAGAGGTGTGACAAATTTGACGAAACGTGATATAAGTTAGCTCGAAAAGTCATTAATTTTTTTGCTGAATAGTTTCTAAGAAGATGTTGGTGTCACGAAGTTCTAGTTTTTGGCATTATATAATGGAAGTTTGGCGTGATACTTGAGTCAGGTAATCATTTGACTGTCACGATAATAACACATCTTACGCGAAGTAAAAGTGCAGATGCGTACATTACCTTTACCACACATAATAACTTTTGTCAAACTGTTTACAAAAATGATAAACATCTTTATTTTGTTTTAAATAAATGTATCGTCATCAACAGCCTTTAATAGTCCACAGGCCTCTTCTTAGATGAGGCTTTGAACTACCATACCATGCTGGCCAGACGGGTTGGTATGGGGTTTGTTTTGTAGTGTACGTTACAATATTCTCACACACCCAATTTTATTTACATGTCATTATTTTACACTTATTTATTTATTATATACAAAGATAATTTCGATACCGGATGGTCGATAATTCATCTCGAATATTACCGACTGGGTCCGATCCCTATCACCGCGCATGCGTGGGATTGTTGTGAGGCGCTTAGCTACGCTGAACGGTGTCATTTTTTTGCCTTAGCTAATTTCAATGTATTCTCATGACTTTTGCCTTTCAGTTGGTTTGGCTGGCGTGCTTTCTTCAATTTCTACTGCAAGATTGTATATCCAAGTTTTAATTAAACATTTTATTGTTCTTGAAGTGTTTGTGATCAGAACACACCGTACAAGATTTCTACACCACTCAGAGGTTCACAGGAAGAGAATGCCCTGGGCATTAATTCAGCCTATGTACAAAGGTGCATTAAGTTTATATACTCGTAAATAAATTAACACTTTATTGAACTCTATCAGAAACATTCTTGTAGAATATTGTTGTCTACTTTCTGGTTTATTCTCAGACTTGTACATATATAAATAACCACTACTTCGCCAGGTGGATCTCCTTTACCAAGGTCAAAAATATTCAATATTAATCCAAGTCGTAAACTATGTGCCAAATTTCATTAAAATCCGGATCGCTCTGAGGGCGTCAGAGGCGCGCTCTATTCTAGACGGTCAAAGCCTCCGCCCACACCGGTGCACACATACAGTACCATTGACCCAGGATCGAATCGTATAAGTCGATTTCTTCAGATAGGTTAGAAGCATCCACTTATTACAACGAAAATACAGGACGTAATACAGACTCCGTTCTATTGTTTTATAATAAAACAACAAAAAGAATATTGTTACAATTTGAAGCAATAACGAGTCATCGACTTCGCAGTGTGACATAACAATGGCATATGGCTTAAAGAGTATAACAATAGACGCACAGGCAGCAAGACTTTCACTCGCTATGACAACTTTAGAATGTACGGATTGACAGTGAAATTAATCTATACTAATATTATAAAGCTGAAGAGTTTGTTTGTTTGTTTGAACGCGCTAATCTCAGGAACTACTGGTTCGATTTGAAAAATTCTTTCAGTGTTAGTTATCCCATTTATCGAGGAAGGCTATAGGCTATATATCATCACGCTAAGACCAATAGGAGCGGAGCACCAATGAAGAATGTTTCAAAAACGGAGAAAATTTATTACTATTGAGAGACGCAGACGAAGTTGCGCGGGTCAGCTAGTAATAAATATTTATGTGCACGAATTTCTGTCGGTGTGATGTTTATAACTAAAGCAAAAAATAATTACGTGAGACCATATTCACACAAACTAGGTACAGTTCCGTCTTACTGGAACTAGCGGATAACAGTTGGAACTCACTGGAACTAGCGGTTTTCAGTTCCGATTCACTGGAACTATATACTTACTATTAGCATTATGTGCTCGGGAATGATTGAAATCTTGATGAGGAATATTAAAAAAAAACGCACACACTAGGAATAATATTCTATGTCTCGGGGACTTTACAAACATATGAGGCAACTTAAAAAGCTAAGTATTAACGTAAAAATAAGTATACAATTTAAAATGTATGACAAATTAGACGAACGTTAATGACATAATATGCGTAACATAAATAAATACATAGTAACGTAAATTTACTAAATTTGGAATTAAATATGTCAAATATTGGGGTAATATTTTATTTTTAAAGTATCCCGCATTAGTAATATATCCTGTGTCGCGGGGGACTTTACAAACATACATGAAACAGACACAAAGAATACCCAAACTCAGAACAACAATTTGTGGATCACACAAAGTGTCGTCCCATGTGGGGATCGAACCCACAACACTCAGTGTAGTAGTTAGTGTAAATGTTTAGTTTTACATAGTGTTACTATATTAAGCATGTTGTGACGCCTTAAAATGTTGTGCATTAACCTTAATATAATGGATGCATGCATTTGATTTTAGTAAATAATGTAACAACTACTGGCTGTCCAATAAATAAATAAATCCCGGTCAACGTAGTTTCTGAAGCACAATATTCTGGATAGCATAGTAGGGAGACCAGACAGGTGAAGTGTACTCTAGTAGAGTGCGAACGAGTGTATTAAAGAGGAAAAGAAGACTACGAGCCTTCTTGAACTCCTTTGTGACTCTCACTATGAATCCCAGAAGTATATTATATCTATACAAATAAATAAAATTGGAGTGTCTGTTTGTAATATTAAAATAACCGCTTTTTACTAAATGCATATGTATGTTTACACGGTACATATGCCAAAATATATTTTTTTACAAATTTTTGTCTGTCTGTCTGTTTGTTCCGGGTAATCTCTTTAACCGCTGGACCGATTTCGACGGGACTTTTACTGGCAGATAGCCGATGACATAAGGAGTACCTTAGGCAACTTTTTTTAGACTAGCTTCACCCCGCGGTGTTGCCCGCGGTTATAACAACAAACGCGGGTAACACCGCGGGTCTCAGCTAGTTATATATATAACTTCTAGGAGTCATAGAGAAATAGAAATATCGCAGGCGATAACCCGTTCCACAGATTGGTTGTGGGGAGCAAAAAGTGTCTCAAAAAGCACACAGTTGTGGAGCACCAACTATCCAGGGGATGGGGATGAAAATTTTACCTCGTGAAACGATGAAGTTGCGCCCGGTATTAGTCCGAACAATTCCAGAAGACTGACTAGGTATAATAAAAATAATAATAATAATATTGTACCACATTCACACAACGCCATCTAGTCCCAAACTAAGCAGAGCTTGTACTATGGGTACTAGACAACTGATATAAATACTGATATATATATACATATACATATGTATATGTGATTCATTCACATTTCTAAGTGTTAAGTTACGTTTCTCTTTATAAATAAGACGTATCATTAAAGGATTATTATTATTTATTATTTCCGGACCGATACGACCTTCAAACCTTCAAGAAAAGAGCGTACTCCTTTATAAAAGGCCGGCAACGCGTTTGTGACTCCTGAGCTGCAGACGATCATGGGCGGAGATAGTCACATTCCATCAGGTGACCCGTCTGCACCCTCTTAACATATTATGAAAGGTGATGAATACGAGTGAATGTCCGAAATTAACCTACCACGGAAAGTATCAAATACCAACACGGCTGGCGTGATCATTTCTTCATCAACCCTTCATCTCTTATATTACCCTCGTAGAGGAAAATTTCTAAAAAATCTGTCTTAGGGTCCTTATAAGATAAAAAGCGGCAGATGCAAAAATTTCGAGTTGTAGGCCCCGCGGTTTAGACTCTGCTGTGATGAATCGATAAGTAATTTTATATGTTTAGATTAATAGGGATATAGTACTCTAATCTATACTCTATACAAATAAATAAAATTGAAGTGTCTGTTTGCAATGTCAGGTTTTTTTCATGCTCACACGGTTATTTGCACGATACCTATGCCTAAAAACCAGTAAATTTTTGTCTGTCTGTTTGTTCCAGGTAATCTTCTAAACGGCTGGACCGATTACGATAATGTTTTACTACCAGGTAACTGTCTACATAAGGAATATCGTAGGCTATTTTTCATTTCAAAAAGCCCTTTAAAATTTTGGCCGGTTCGGGCATCGAACCGAAGAACGAACGAATTCGCGGGTGCCAGCTAGTTTATATATATATACATATATATATACTACACTCACGTCTCAACCCCGTCCAGACTGAGACGATAGAACACACATTCATCACGACTTTGACAGATCAATAATCTATACAAATAAATAAAATTGGAGTGTCTGTTTGTAATATTAAAATATACACGGTACATATGCCAAAATAACATTTTTTAAAATTTTTATCTGTCTCTCTGTCTGTCTGTCTGTCTGTTTGTTCCGGGTAATGTCTGGAACGGCATGACCGATTCCGACGGGACTTTCACTGGCAGATAGCTGATGACATAAGGAGTAACTTAGGCTACTTTTTCTAGACTAGCTTCGCCCCGCGGCGTTGCCCGCGGTTATAACAACAAACGCGGGTAACACCGCGGGTCTCAGCTAGTTTAAAAATAAAATAACAAATGTCGATACAGCCTCTCAGGCTCAGACCCTTATATCCTTAGCCACATATTTTTGCTAAAGTGATGAGTTTGTGAATTTACGATTTGTAGAGTTAGAAGCTTGGCTCTACATGAGATCTTTTCGACAGTGCATGCCATATGCTCTCGTCTTGGCAACATTTTAGATGAAGATGTTTTTGGTGGTATTTTCATTACGAGAGTTGACCTTCTAGTCAGCGAAAAACATAACCGCTACAAGCAAGCAAGCAAGCTAAAAAGCAGCAAGACGATGAGGATGTGCGATATATCATCAACTAGCGGTAGCCTATGTTCTTCCTCAAGAATCAAACTATCTCCATACTAAATTTCATCTAAATCGGTTCAGTGGTTATTGTTTCCCCCATACAAAATTACACCCCCCTTTTCACCTTCTTACATAATGATTTCTAAGATAAAAACTATCCTATGTCCTTTCCCGGGACTCAAACTATCATCATCACATATCATATAACAACTACTATATACATAACTTCATCTAAGAACGGCATGAGGGGTCTATGGACCCCCGGTCGGAACGAAGTATAGCAAGAAGAAATATTTTTCGGTCTCGGTCCCATCCGCTCGACAAATTCGTTCCAATAAGTTCAGCGGTTTAAGCGTGAAGAGGTAACAAACAGACAGACACACTACGTACGTACGTATGAATATCTATTAGTCGATATCTAATGAAGACATTAAAACCCCAACCTGATGGATATAACTAGGTGTTCGTAA